CCCATTCCGACACGATGAACTTCAAGTGGTTCGCTCTAGTTTGGGTTAATCTGTTGTTTTCGGGAGTTGTGTTTGCGGGTAGAGATTTTTACAAAATACTCGGTGTCTCCAAAAGTGCCAGCCTCCACGAAATCAAAAAAGCGTATCGTCGTCTCGCCAAGGAATTGCATCCAGATAAGAACCAAGATGACCCGGAAGCATCCAACAAGTTCCAGGATCTGGGGGCTGCTTACGAAGTGCTGTCGGATGAAGAAAAGCGCAAGAAGTACGACCGATGCGGCGAAGACTGTTTGCAAAAGGATGGCATGATGGACGGGGGCATGGACTCTTTTGGCAGCTTCTTCGGCGACTTTGGGTTCCACTTTGGGGGCGAACAACGACCTGAAGCAGCCAGGGGAGCGGATTTACTCATGGACATTCACGTTACTCTTGAAGACCTTTATACAGGTTGGAAACCCCAATTCTCTTTACACGTTTCCCTACGGTAATTTACGATTAATCTTCAGGAAACTTCATAGAAATAACCAGGAATAAGCCAGTTATAAAGCCGAGTCATGGGACACGTCAGTGCAATTGCAGGCAGGAAATGATCACGAAGAGTCTGGGTCCTGGACGGTTCCAGATGATGCAGCAGACTGTTTGTGACGAATGCCCCAATGTTCAGTTGGTCAATGAAGAAAGAACTTTGGAAATGGAAATAGAAGCTGGTAAGATATCGCAGCTTCCATTCTTCAGCAATTTATCTTTGACCATGAATACAAGTTTCATCTAAAAATCTGCAAAGGAACTTAAAATGTGCTCATGGAGCATCCATATGCTCTCCTTGAACTTGAATGTGCTTAAACATTACTCATTATTAAAATATACCTACTGAATAGATATATCTACTGTTATAGTCAGAGTTAAGTGGCCAATTCGTCATCGAATGGCTCGAAAACACATTTTTCAATTCTGTCTTAAAGAGTATATCAGGGCTTCAAAAAATTAGCCCATAAACATCGTAATTATCTCATCAGGAATGGTGGATGGACAAGAAACGAAATTCACTGCAGAAGGAGAACCTCATATAGACGGAGAACCTGGCGATCTGATTCTTGCAATCAAAACCCAGCCTCATCCAATATTTGAAAGAAGGGGCGACGATCTGTACACAAATGTCACCATTAGTTTACAGGTAATCTTTTTTTTTTATTAAAATGCGATTGTTTTTTAATAAATATATTTTTTAGGATGCTCTAGTTGGTTTTACCATTGAACTGCGGCATCTTGACGGACATATGGTTACTATTAATCGGGACAAAATAACCTGGCCTGGGGCCCGAATTCGCAAGAAAGGCGAGGGCATGCCGAATTACTCAAACAACAATTTGCACGGGGCGTTATTTATTACTTTCGATGTGGAGTTTCCTAAGCAGGAACTGAAAGATGAGGAGAAGGAAGGTGAGTTTTTTGTCTCAATATCCTAGGCAAAGTATCCATGCAAGTGAGTCTAAAAAACTAGAGGCTAATTTTATCTTGTTTCCTTTGTAGTAATCAAGAAGGTTTTCAATCAACGTTCCAATAACAAAGTGTACAACGGCCTGCGGGGTCACTGAACATCAATGGTAACTATTAGTATGTAAAACCTATTTTGTACATAATAAGTATGTCAGTTTATTTCGCGTGCGTGTGTATGGGTTCGAGTTAAATGTATTATTTATTAATAGCCACTCCAAGCAAATGGTTTCGTTGAAGGTGTACATTAGACAATTTGTATCATATAAATGTTTTAAGTGAGTGCGGTTGATTGGGTTTTATTTTAAAAAAAAATAGTTTAAACAGAAATTTTATTTCGTCTGTTTTGACTAGATCCTCACAAGCACATAAATCGGACACGTAGAATAAAATATCAGCTGAAAAAATCAGCTCCTACACAGCCAACGTTAATACAAGAATAAACATCAAATGAGATTAGGTCTAATGAGACAGTTACCATCGTGATGGTACTAGAAAACGGCATTATTTGCAATAGCAGTACTTCCGCAAATGAGGAAATTCTGCTTCTACGCATTTAGCTTGCGATCTATACATGTTGATCCGGCTAATATCACCCAGCAACAACTCCAATTGATCACGGTCTTTCACATGCTTAATGGAAGCTTCAAAAATCGAATTACCTGGCACGAGCGTTACTTTAATCTGATACAACTCCTCCGTAATGTGCGTGTTGGCTGATAGATCGGCCACAAAACCGTCAATATCCTTGTTTTGGCTGAATTTCACCAAGTTCCTGTTGGGCGTTAGTTTCATCGCCCATGAAACTTTGGCCAGTTTCAATTCTTCGCACATATACCGCTTACTATCAGTAAGGTTATTTATGAAGTTCAGCAAGGTGTCTCCTAAACGAGGGATGATTGGGTGGGACAGACTAATTTTTTCCCATGCCAAACAGGCACACCAATGGGGCTCAATGTAAGCATGTGCACAAGATCTGGCGGCTGGAATCTACAAGTCGGAGACGCTAGTGAGAACGAACTGTTGGGACGTGAAGAAAATTACCTCCGAAAATAATGAGATGGACCGTTGATTTAAATTGCCGAAGCCGGTGTTTTTCAAATCCAAAACTTCCTGGAGAGTCCGATGAACATCAAAGGGCGTTGTTAGTTTGTCGGAGTTTTTTCGAAAGTTCCTGTAAGCCCTGGGATATTGATGCGCAAACCACTCGGGAAAAGCAAAGGCAAAAAATGGAAGTCTTTCCTCTTGCTTGCCTTGGATTGTGTTTCGTACATCTGCAAACCTATTGGCATCGATCGCATGTCGACGCTTGTTTTCATAGACTGAGTTAAATTCACCTGTGTCCATGATCCGCCATAATGATCAAAATTGTATTATTAAGAGCCCCAGATTCCTTCAAGTCCTTGAGCAGATTCATCGTATCATGATCGGCAACTTCGATTAAATTGTAATCATCGTGCGAAAGTTCGCCATGGAATCCGAACAGGAACTTTGGTTTTGTTTGGTAGACGCTGAAAAACTGTTATGTGGCCCCACTTAGTTAAATGTTGGGCAACAGCTATAAAAACTCACATCCTTGATGTAGTTTAGCATGATTTGATGCCTGGGCGAATCCCCTGTACACAGTTTGGCCCACTTATGTTGTTCGTCGTGATTGGCCAAGTAATAAGGGCGCATATAGTGATCTGTTGGAACTTGCTGCAAGAAAACCACTTAGCTCAGTGGAGAAATTGTACCAAAAAGTACCTTAAAACCATTCAGCCGATAGGTGAAAGTCCCTATATGAGGAACGTCTTCTAAAAACGCCGTTACATATCCGGCGTTTTTATATTCGTTCCATATGAAAGGATATGAATTGACGTAGTTGGTGTTTTTCAACCGCTTCCTAGTGTCTGGAAGCTCTAGCTCGGTTCTCCCAGTTAAGAGTGGAATTAGCGCTTGCGGCGTTCCATCTCCCACTATGTTGTATCTGAAACCATCCCTCAAGCAACCTAGGTTTACGTCAATGGGGGGGCGAAGCTCACCCTTTAAGAACCACAGCGTTCAAGACCTTGGTTAGATATTCGTAGGACTCGGGCAATTTCCTAATGAAAGCGTTTCGCGAAAGCGAATCATACCCAAACATCAAAACGTTCATATTGAGCGCGGTCTTTTTCATTTGCTCCCAGTTGGTCTTATCCCAAATATTATTATCCAGTCTTACCCCGGTTAGAGTTGCTGACCATTTCCGCGAGTCTGAGGACTGGCAAGCCACTCTTACAACATCACTGCGTTCAAGCTTGTAATACTCCGAGGAGTAGAACGTTTCTCCATCAGTCAATTCGTAATCGTCTACACGGATTACATCGGTAAATGCGCAATTTATCGGGCCGTGATTCTTCTTTGCTAGTTCTTGGATCACACATTCAGAGCCCTACGGTTGCAACGTTTTTCAGTTCAGTTCAGTCAAAAAAAACAGTTTCAGTTGAAAAGTGAAAATATGATCAAGAAATCTGGTCCAATTTATCAATAACATTTTTTTGCCGATAGGCGTTGATTGTCGCTACTTTAGCTTAAAAGACGGTTTATTGAGAAAAAGCGATCGGCAGTTAGTGCAGGACAGTGTTAAGAAACCACAACGATCCCGCACTAAAACCTGAGGGTTCTTCAGGCCGATATTTTACTTGAATCTGTATACTTTTCACAAAAAAAATATTTCTTTTCGTTAACAAATTGAACTTACGATCTGATACGAGACACTGAAGCAGTTTCTAGTTTGCAAATGAAAGAATATGCTCTCACTTTTTATTAAGGCAGCAAGTGTGCACATTTTTCATTTGCTAACACACATCTTTGCTCTTCATTGCCTCGTTTTTTGGTAATAAAAACCGCTCTTGGCTCATGTGTAAAATGGAACTCACCCTGCATTTTACCCAGTCATCCCCCGCTTTGTCGCAGTTAATTGGGGGCACTTTTTTAATAAATTGCAGCATTTCTGGATTGTAAAGCTCTAAATCCGGCTGCTTGCATGCCAGACTATTTGCTTGCTGTTTGATAAAAATGTCAATCTTCGCCCTAAAAGTGCACGAATATGTGTAGACTTTTCAGGGTGAGTTCAATCAAGCAAATACTAACAGTCTCAGCTCGCGGTCGACATCGTTTATTAGGGAATGATGGGGCCATATCAACAGGAAACAGCCAATTATCCCAACCAGCAACAAAACATAAAATTTTCTCTTCAGAGTTAATTCAAGCATTTGTAGCCGGTAATAGATTCTGTTGCGACTGATGCAGACACGCATTTTTTATTACATTTCTGATCAACCCAGAATTTGTAATTTCAGTGAGTATTAATTTTAAACAAGCCGCAAATTTGCGATTAACCTGTCAACAATGATAGAAACAATAAACAAACTCGACGCCCCGATGCCAAACCGTTTCTATTTTTACGGTGCTTTGATGATTTTGAATAGAGGCAGTTCCGGAATTAAATCCCAATATGGCAACACCCTGGGTTACCAACCCAAAAAACACTAATTTCTAGGGACCAACCGACTGACATCTCTGACTTGACATTGCTTTTGTCAAACTTACACATAACCTTTCGTTTCTCCCAAACTACAAAAATGGTAAGTAGTCAATTTCATCCGTAAAAACCTGAAATTTGAACACCCATCTAAAGCAACTTTTTATCTGAAAACCTTTCTTAGTTACATTCGTTCGCGGCCTTATTCATATTTTCTGTGACAACCAACTTTTTTCCCTATTTCTTTGATTATAGGTAAGCAAAGGTTATGTTGTCATGTTTGTTTTTTAGGGTAAGGTAAAGTGCTCCGAGTTGAGGACTAAGGACAAAAAAGAGCTCACCAAGCAGCTCGATGACCTGAAGAAAGAGCTCACCAGCTTGAGGGTGGCTAAGGTCACCGGAGGGGCTCCTTCCAAGCTGTCCAAGATGTAAGTAATGGCTTACTACATTACCCCCCCATTCAAGACAATGGCTGATTATTATAGATTTAAATGCTTTGGAACCGAATAGAGTTTTCAGTTAGAGGCAGTTCAACAATAGAACTTTTCGGCTTTTTTAGTCACACAGGCACAAACGTGGTTCGGCAAAGCTCTGTTCATGTTTGGGGTCTGAATCTGGATCCAACGGCCATATTTTTTCAATGAACTCGTTAGTGAACAAATCCAAACAAGGAACTGAGGAGTTTTCGGTGGAAAAACCTGAAAAGAACTCACCAGTTTCAAGTAATGGCCTGAAAATCCGGCAATGGTATCCGTTTGGTCAAAAGATCGGTTTTCATTTGGGCGTACAGAACACTCGAGACGGTTTTATTAAAATTTTCACTTGATTTTTACATTTAAAATTTATCTAAAATATGCCTATATTGGTTCGCAAACAGTAAAAATGTTATTAAAATTGATTTATGGTTTTTCCTCGATTATTCTTTAGGACTATTTCACACAAAATTGATGTTAACATATTTGATCTGTGATTTACTCTAAAATAATTGGAATTTTTTTGTTCAGTCGCGTAGTCCGTAAAGCTATCGCCCGAGTGTACATTGTTATGCACCAGAAGCAGAAAGAGAACCTGAGGAAATTGTACAAAAACAAGAAGTACAAGCCTTTGGACCTGAGGCCCAGGAAGACGCGTGCTATCAGACGCGCTCTTTCGTCGCATGAGAAAAAAATTAAGACTCCTAAGGAAATTAGGAAAATGTCTGCTTTCCCCCCAAGGAAATATGCTCTTAAAGCATAGTTTTTTTTTAATTGTAGAGTTATTTTTTATTCCACATAAAAAGTAATTCAAAAAATTGTCTTATTTCAAGCCCCCCCCGGCAGTTGAACGCTGTAAAGTAAAACACAGTTTCCCAATCCCTGCCTTTATTCCACTGTTAATCAAAATAGTCCTCTATGTCAATATCCGGGTTCAAAATATCGTCCCCGTAAGGTTCTAAATCGATTTGATTTAGAATCAAGTTTTCGCACATCTCTTCCAAGTCGGTGTCCCCAATTAAAACTGCTCCTTGCAGCCGATGATTTTCCAAAATCAGCTTGATGTACTCCAGATCCTTGGTGGTTCTGAGGAGGATTTCGTACTTTTTATCCAGCTTCTGCCCGTTGAACAGTCCCAGCAAAATCACCTTGTAGCCAAACAGCTTGGTTGAGTGGGTGAAAATTTCAAAGCAGAAATCTTGCAGGATTTCCTCTTTGTTCAAATGCCCCGACATGCATTTGGCGGCGTAGCAACCCATTTGTCTGGCCTGAGTCCACAGCTTCATTTGAATCCAGTGCTTCGCTATGGGCCAATCTGCGCTGCAAATATCGCCAGCTGCATAGATATTCTCCAGATTTGTCTTCATGTATTGATCCACTTTAATTCCCTCATCTGCCAGCTCTAGTTGGACATCTATCTTGAAGTTTTTTCTAGGGCTTACACCGGTTGCGGAAATGATCAAGTCGCAACTGATTTTCTCTCCGTTTGTTAATCCAACTTCCAGTTGATGTTCCGAACCTTCCAAGGCTGATACAGAGGATATTTCGTTCTGGTAATGTATACTGACCTGCTTATGCAAGCCTGGGGAGTTTGCTCCAGAAATTAGCAGGTTTTGATACCAATCTGGGCCCAAAGCTGCTCCAGATTTATGCAGTTTATCTTCTTGGTAGCGCATTCTCTTCGTTACAGTCTCTTGAGTGGCAGGCCGTTTGAGCAACGCGGTTTGGAAGAATTCAGCAGCCCCTGGATCTACAAACGTTGCTGATATGTGATTGTCTTTAACCACCCAGTGGATTTCGGTGTTTTTAATCTTGAAAACCAGTTCAGAGGCTATGCCCCCATTTCCAACCACCACAAGCTTTTTGCACTTTTCGAGCGTTTCTAGAAACAGCTCCACTGAGTCAGTGTCTCTAATTCCTACTATATGCTCAGGATATTCAGCGGATTGGGGGATCAGCTTGGGCTGCGCCCCTATACAAAGGCAGAGATATTGGTATTTGATGATGATGCCCGATTGTGTAATAATGCAGGAGTTTTTGTGCTGGATTTCTGCGAGGGTGCCATTGACTACAGTAATATTTTGAAACTTTGCCTGCAGAGTACTGCTAGGGGCTTCTTTGACATCGAATCCCATTAAGGTTTTAGTGATGGCATGCAGATTGGTAACTGTTTTAATCAACGATGATTCACTTAGCAAAATAATAGACTTTTCTTGCTGGAGGAAGGCCAGAGTTTCAGCACATGAAACCCCCGCAATCCCTCCGCCGACTACCACAAACACTGCTTCCATTATTTATTTTTTGGGTAATATTTGGAGTAGTCGTATTTCCTAAATGGCACATCAAACGTTAGTAGTCCATAGTCATAAGCTCTCTTAATGCAAACTTCCAACTCCAGTTGTCTCCTTCTGCAAAGCCCAGTTTGGCTGTAGCCCAGCACAGCGCCAGTCTGGGGCGATATAAACTGCTTCAATAATTCAGTGTTTTCTTGGTGAAGAACTAGATACTCATCCCGGCAAATGGGGCAAGGGTTTCCAGTAGATATCTCCTCATTACGAATGCAGGTTTTTCTTGTATGTCTAGGCGGAATGGCTCCTTTGTGATTCCTTCTGTAAGGCACCCAAACGGGCTGATTACCATAGGTCTGCTTATATGCGGCACTTTTTAGATAGCGAAGGCTCGTCTCAAGGGGCACTTGCTGTGAACGGTCTTTGGTAACTTCGCGAGTTTCCACAACTGCGGATTCTTCTTGGAAGTTACGCGCCGTTAAAGACAACCGTCTGCGAACAATCGCACTGGATATTAAGTTTTTTATTCCTACTGAGCGACTGTACATTTTTAATTGCGGCAATTACACTAAAATAGGTTAGGGTTTGAAACAAATGTCATTTTCTTCAGTTTCTCCAATGAGTTGAGCTTTTTTGCGATTTGATGCTTTCATTCCAGCTTATTTCCAAATATTTTTAGCTTTCATGAAATGCAACTGGCGACTTTTCTTTTCACGTTACCAAACCAGGGGTATTTGAAATAAACGGGGCGTTTAATGAACGTTTTCAAACATCAATGCACAGAACATACCCCCTAGGGCGGATATTTTGTGCATCAATGGTTTGTCTACATTCATTTTTTTTCTGTCCTGTAAAATTAATATAAAATGAGCGGAATAACTACACGGAAACGCTTGTATGATTTAAGCTATCATTTTAGCTTTGGTAAAATACAAATTGTTTTTTCAATGAATCAAGATGCACTGAACAGGCTCTACTATGATTCACTATATTTCCGGTCAAAAAAGGGCAGGCGGGAGTGATAATTGGTGCCTAGTTGCGCGCAGTGTTGCCCGTTGCAGCTGAATAACACAGCGCTTAGTGTTTTACAGATTCTTTTTAACCTTCTGCCGAATAATTCAGCAAGGTTTTCACAGTCTAATTGTTGCAGTATTACTACATCCGTTACAGTGTTATAATTGAAATGGTAAATAACAATAATTTTCCTTTCGGTTCGAATTATTATAATTTTCAAGTTGTTGAAGAATTTCGTTGGCGTGACATGGCAACAATGACTGACTGGTTGGAGCTTCATCACGGAATTTCGCCATTTTAGATTCACTCTTTTTGTCAGCACGTTGCGACGTTAGGCTTGAATAAGATTTCTATATTTTTCGGTGAAATATTTGGTAATTGGAAGAATTCCTATTTTAAAACGTTCTGTATAGAAGGACGATTGTCTGTAGTTGATTTATATAGAACTAGTCGTTAATATATGGGGGTAAACTGATTGCTCTTTGTTCTTGTCGAGTTGGGCGTCGAATCAATTGTGCTTATTTCTAGTTAGCTTTATCAACAGTAATTTATTGTAAAATGTAATTATTGGATGGTTGTTGAAAAGCTATCGTATTTTGGATTCGATCTTCGATCTACGACCCCGTGTACGAGTTTCCTCAAGGCTGCAATATGGTAAGATCAAAAGATAATCCAACAGATTATGCTAGAAATAAAATAGGCTTTTGTTCTGCTGTGTTATTATTTCCCCAAACTGTTCAAGTTCCTTTCGAATACTAGGAAATTCCAAATTTAATTTTCTTCGCCATTTTGTTCGGTATTACGTCACAGCGCGTCATGACTCACGCCATATTAGGCGGCATGTTCAAATTACTCATTTCATTTTCTCTTTGCAGCCACGCATCGATCCGTTGCAGCTCCTCAAGTGCCTTTCGGTCCTTCTCAGCCCAGATGGAGGTATTTTATCTCGTGACGAAGTTCCTCGGCTTGTGAAGTAAGTTGACGTTTTTAAAAATCAATCTAAACATCAAAACCCATACCCATTTGTACTTAACACTAATTTCAACATTGTTTTTTCAGCTTGATGACCAAATTCTCCAAGAAACTAGTCAGCAAATGCGTCTACGTCCTGATTATGAAGAATACAGAGACCAGCTTGGTCGACATGTTTATGGCGGAGGGAGGATGGGCGCTAATCCAGAATTGGTTACAGGACGCAGTGCAGACAGGCAATTGGGACTTAGTTAAGGAAATTCTTGGTTTGTTGCTCATCACTCCAGTAGACGTTGAAAGACTTAAAATGAATTGTCTGCCAAAGGTCATCAAGAGCTTGTCCCGCAGAGAGGATTTGCCCGGTAAGTTTTAAAAGCAATATATCCGTAGATATAGTTCGAATTACTAGTGGCGACGGGGTATTTTCACTTATTATTCGTGCTACTTAGAACAATCCTCAATAAGAGTAAAGCTAGGAAATTTTTTGGAAAAGTAGTCCACGTAAATGACGTTTTTTTCACATTTTATGGTTGTGTTGGTCCGTAATACTAAGGACCCGTCATATAGACAGCTATTGGCTCGATGTTATTAATTGCAACTAATCCGAAAAAAAGTATATTATGGGACAAGAGACGAAGTTGACGCCCGAGGCGATGCCGAGATTAAGAAAATGTCCTTTTCTTATCCCCTGGTGGAAAGTTCGTACTTTCGCCACTGTTTTCGATGGCGAAAACTTCACTTTTACCCATTACAAACTTTCTTCATCCCCTGACTGTTTTGCAACATTTTCGAAACCTTATATTTTCCCCGGCTGGTTTCCACCGATGATCATGAAAAATCGTATACGCTACGCGAGACGAAAGTCGAAGGCCCGCCACTGCATGCATGTCAACTTCAAGCAGTAGCGGAACCTCGACTTTCGTCCCTTGTACCGTAGTACACTATTAATTCCTATTATAATAATATAGTGCGGTAAATTGCCGCTTAAATACTAAGCTACTCGCATTTGCGTTTCGCGTTTCGATTGATTCTGCTTGTCAATACTTATTTTTCCTGGTCTTCCGCATAATTCAATTAAGCACATTTGGCACCAAGTGCCCTTAAGAAGGCATTGCCTCATAAAATATTGTGCACATGCAACGAACACAAGAGAATAGAATTACCCGCATGGAACTGATTTATTATTTGTTGCTAAATAAAACATTTTGTAAGGATTTTCCTCACATTTCCCAACCTTGAGAGCATTTTATATTCGATCAACATTTGTTAATGTGATGTTGTTTAAATCACATATTCCATCTGTGAATGTTTAAGGACGTATTTTTTGCAGTTTCAAGAGAATGTATCTTGCGCTTTATCTGAAAAGATGGTGTTATTTAATCTAGCTGAAAATTCATAAACCCTTTTTCGCCTTGGGCTTTTTCTCAGAACTAAAAAGAAAATGACCTGTCCAATCGGTAAACCTAACATAGTATTTCTACGTTTTGATAACATTACTTAATCGATTTACTTACATATTTGATGGTTATATAAGCTTATTGAGTGTTTTAATTAATTAATTTATTTATTACTAATTTTATTATTTTCGTAATTTCATAACATGTTCAGGCTGAAGTATATGAATTTTGAACGAAGTCCTTGATTTTGAAGCTTAAAGTTAAAAATTGTTGATTTAAATTGATTTACTTGTTTAATCTACAGTTTTCGAGTTTAGTTGGCAAAGATTTAATACATTTAAAGCTGTTCTGTGATTTTATTCACATCGCAACAGTAAATTTGTTTGATTAATTCATTAGCAAGTTAGTTCTAAATAGTGAACAATTAGTCAATTTTGTACGTATATTCTCGGTCTTCGTTTCGCCATGGGGTCATCGGTAGAAAATAAATACACTTTCATTGTTCCTGAAACTCGGACATTGAACTAGTCATATAATGAAAAATAGACTTATTGGTGGAAATTCGGACAAATTAATGTCTGCGTATCAACTTTTGTTCATCATTTTTATTGAATATTATTTCTTAGTTGTTTGATGTTTAATCCATCAAAAATTTGCAAATCTTGAACGCAAAACGAGAACTCTAGATGTCAGTTCTTCGAAACTTGAATTGAACAACCACCAACTGACAATGAGCGTGAACATATTTTTAGTGCAATAAGGCATCTTTTTCGGGCAAATACGCATTTTCTATCACATATATGTTAGCTTTATCTTTTTTTATGTTTAGTTAATATTTATTAGTTTTATATATGAGATAAATGCGCAAACACAATAACAAACTAAATACTTATTGTTGAATGGACTGTTTTTTCACATCTTATATTCCAAAAAAAGTTTTTTCACTCATGCTTTCGAAATACTCGAACTTTTAGATTTACATTAAAATATTCATAAGATAGAACTAGTTTAAATCTTCCTATACTACTTAATATTGGCAGTTCATATTTATCTTCACACGGGGCATTTCGTTTGCAACGGCAAGCAAGTGGAAAAAACGCCCTTAACTAAATCGTACAATCGACTTTTTCTTTTCTTTGCCCTAAGGCTAGATAAGATAAACTCAGCATCAGAATCTGAAAATTGAACATCGATTGGTTTGTTTCAGAAGTCGCCAACATCTCCAATCAGATAGTTCAGAATTGGTTGACGATAGTCAAGGGGTGCTCTGGGATGACAACATCGAACGGTCCTATTCGAGTTTCCCCTGCTCACTCCGACAATCGGGTTCCTGCCCAGAATGGAGAAGAATTCAACAAAAAGCCCGATGTTGCCGTTGATGCCCCTGAACCTGCCGTGTCTGTTCCAGTGGAAGAACGCAACGGCGAAGTGAACAAAACAAGTCTAGAAAATGTTGAGCCTATTGGGACAACTACTTTTTATAAAATGTCGATGAAAGATGGGAAGCAGGTTATTAAAAAAGTTACTCCTGAGGACAGTAAGAATGTAAGCGAGGATGACGAGTCGATCAAAAGCGACGACAATAAAATCAAACCAGTGGAGAAAGATGCGAAGTCCAGTGATAAAGAAAAGTCGTCTAGGTCGGCGTCGTCGTCCTCGAAAAGCAAATCGAGTTCTAGTAGTAGGGACAAAGATAGGGATAAGAAAGGTTCGAGTAAATCAAGCAGCAGTAGCAAAAGCAAATCAAGTAGTAGCAGCAGTCGAGATAAAGACCGAAAAGATAGAGATAAAGACCGCGACCGCAAAGATCGAAGCAAGAATAGCAGGTCCTCTTCTAGGTCCAACTCTAAAAGCAGCAGTAGTAAGGACAAAAAAGATTCCATAGAGAAGTCCAAGGAACCGAAGGAGGTTAAAGAAAATCAGGCCGATAAGGATAAGGATACTTTGGATAAAGTCAAGCCTCAAACGTTGGATAAACTGGGCAGGATTCCGAAGAAGTCCAACGGTTCTGATGAAAAGCAGAAGGAGAACAAGACCAGTGAGGAATCCGACAAAAAGAAGCCATCGTTCTCAATTCTTAACAGGAAGGGAACTGGCGAGGAGAGGTCCAAAACCGTGAAAGTCTTCAACGCAAAAATGCGCTCCACTGGATTGGAGGAAGAGGTCAAACCACCGCCGCCCAGATCCGCTAACAAGAAGCCCAACCCCTCAGTTCAGTTGCCGACAATTCCTCCTAAGAGACCTTCGCCGCCACGAGAATTTAGCAGCAGCGTGCCTCCGGAGAAGAAGCTGAGGATCGAGAAGGTCGATATTCCCGACCGACCTGGCGCTATCAAGCTAATACCACCCAAACCCAAACGTAAGTTCAATTCCTTACAAAGCTTAACAAATATGTTGTTTTTCAGGGTCAGGAAGCTGCAATTTGGAAGAGTTCTGTACGTTTTTCTACTGAAACTGTGTGTGTGTTAACTTTTTTTTCAGTCCCTGTAGATCTACAGATCCTGCCAATTCATAGTTGAGATTCTTATGTCTCTTGGATTGTGTGCGATTTTTTTCTGTGCGAGTTTTAAGACTTTCGCGTATAGTGCGTTTTTTCGAATTCACGAACTTTTGGGCCCTTGGTAAGTGTTTTAAAGCATTCTGGCTTTGTACCAGATATTTCCAATTAATCAGCTTATTTAGAGATGTTAGGTCATCGGATGGACCTTCTAGGGCGCGGGGTTTGCAACTACGACGGCGAACAGTAAGTTCAATCACGCTTTCGTTTTTTAATTTCCAATTCTAAGTGTGTAAAGTGCATTTGACTGGATTATCCAGTCAGTAGGAATGTGACTGCTTTGGGGAAAAGTGCAACGTTGTGAGAAGGGTGGAAAGTGGATAAAAAACTGGGGTTTTTTAAGATTCGTCTTTGTCATCTAGTGTTTGTAAATAGGCGCAATTAGCCTTTGAGTCGTGGAGCGAAGCTAATTTACAGCGAAACTAATACTGGAATTTCTTGTTGGCAATTAGCGTAAAATGGAGACAGTCGATCGCTTTACGAATTAGTATATTTTGATGTAGAACCAATCTGGTTTAAAACCTGGGTTATTGTCCCAGATTCAAAAAATATTATTTGCCATTACAAATGCTCTGTTGCTGCCCATCCTATTGCTTTGAAATCAACATAAAATTTCTAGTTTATTATTCAATATTAAGAAGACTGCTAAAACAGCTAGAAACACAGCAACACAGAAAATTTTCAATCATGGACAGTTTTAATAGAATTTTTGGTGTTAAATCGCAAATGTTCGTCATTTGCCCGTGTGTAAAGCCAGAGACAAGAATCGTTACACAAAGTAAACGCGTCGCAATTGCCAAGCTTTCTCGGATCGCTGCTTATATAAACATCCACATTTGGGTCATTTCTTTTGAAAAAATTCGTCATTCATCAATCAATAACGCACTCTCCAAAGCTGCAAGGTTCTGCTACTCTTTAGCGACATTCATGCGAAACACCACGATCCTGAAGTTTTTTTTTTAGAAAAAGGCCCATGAAATGAACTGCTGATTGTGGGTTATTAAATAAATACGCTTTTATAAAGTGGAGTTTTATTTTCCAATATATAGTACGTAGTAGTTGATGGAACTGGCTATTCATTAATTAGCTTAGTAAATTAATATACTAAGTAATTGGGTTGAGGAACAATACGCGAACGATCAGTGATGCATTTTGACACAAGACCCAATCGATTGTGCTTGGTGATTTGAGCGTTTGCGAACCCGATAACGTTCATTACTAACCAGCAACAAACGAGCCCTTCTTGGAACTGCCTGGCATAGAAAATTTAATCGCCTGTTCGTTGCTGCAACATTCAACGTCATTACAGCCTTGTTCATATGCACAAAGTGTTTCCTAAAATATCTGCTATACGTACTATTTGGGAAATTTAACTGCCTCTTTATACCGACTAATAAGGTGGTTCGTACCTGAGATATTAATAAAATAAGAGCTCAGTAATTATTTAACTAGGTTTTTGAGTTTCAGAAGTCGTCTTTAGGTAGTTGTTTATTTATGGCAGCACTCAAATGCCTCGCAGCTCCATGTACCAAGAGACTTCGTCCCTGGACCGGTCGACTAACTTTTCAGCTCTTCTCCGGTGATATTGACGGAATTCTGGTATTCGACATTATTTTACTTAAAAACTTAAACGTAAAAACAAAATTGCGACGTATTTTCCTTCGTATCAAGGGTGTGGTGCAATTGCAAAATGTTTTTATTTAGAAAATGGAAACTAATCTTTTTTTTAACAATTAATCAGGTGCATCTGTATAGACGAAATTCACTATTAATGCAGGTTTGCATGATCATTACAACGGTATGAAACCATTTTAATAGGGAGTTTTTTTTTACTTGAACACAAGTTGGCATACGAAATGGGTGAAACATATACACATGCACTAATAACCATTAAGATAAAAATGGCAGTGGAAAGCGTACAGATTATATTATTAGCGGAGGGCGTTATGCATTGTAATTGTTATAGATGTATCTCCCAAAGATAATATATGAAATAAAATCCCAAACTGCCACATAAATGGTTTTATTCGCAAATTTATGTGTGGAATTCGCCGTAGAAGTGTTCAAAAAAGTTTGTCGGGTATACAGTGGATTTTCACAATTTTTTGCCAAAGTTGCCGTTAGTAATTAGTTTATTACTCTGGTGATTTGACGCCCCATAAAAAACGAACAAAAGAAGCTCACATTCATTCGAAAGAAAGCTATATCCAGATGCAAAGTCTCATCATTAATGTATTCTTCTAAATCCCATTGCGGTCGACAAAATATTACACAGCAGTCTGTAATTAGCATGCTCGACTATAGTTGATTTTCCCCATCATTCATTAAATACTAAGTATTCGAGTTACTAAAAGGCATGATATTTACAGGCTGTTGTTTAAGAATTTTTGGGCACGAAATTTATTATGTAATTGAAAGTAGCTAATTACCGTAAAACTACTAAAACTAAAGAACAATTTCATAAGCGTGTTGTTTGAAATTGCCCAGTTTTTTGGGCATTCAGGCCATCATGGAAGAAAGAAAGACATTCTTTGCCACCACGGTCTAAATGTTCGAATAGTTTATTTTTTTCATACTTTTCTCATATACACGGTGTAAATAAAAAGTTTGACACTTCACACATTCTTAAAGTTCGCTTAGTGCATTCCTCTTTTTCGAATCAGTGCATTTAAAGTGTGAATTCGGACTTTTCGCGCAACTGCACATAAACAATAACATAACTTACCAACTCTGTATTTACCGTTACCGTGCTATGATGAGTTGTGTTGAGCACTTTGAAAAACCCTGTACATTTTTAGGGAAACATTACTTGCGTCCTTTTATCTAGGAACTGGCTGAACTGATTAGAACATTAATTGATTATTTTTTTCATTGAATTCATTGCTAAGCTATTCCTGATTCTATTTGACAATTGCTTAATTTATAGTGCTTTTTAAGACTAGCAGACTTTGTTGATTTCATTGAAGATGTTTTATAAAAGCGAGAAGTATTTACGATCCCTTATACCTGCCTAAATTTTAGAGAACTGAACATTTATGGAAAAAGCAATAAAAATACGTAGATAAGCACTTGCCGGTTTCTTGGATCATATTAGAGGATTTTCAGTTTGTCAAAAATTTTTACAACTTTTGTTTGTAAATACAGAAATTTCAGCACTAAAAAGTTTTGTTTCGGCTTCTTTCAAGCTCCATTGCATGAAGCTGAAAAGTTTTTCGGGCTTTCAGGCCAACGTGGAAAAATAGTTTATTCCTGACGTTTCGCAAGCAGGAGGAGCCTCCATCTTCAGAGGTCGTTGATGTGTCGATCAAACCATCTTTGAAGATGCAAGCAACTCGTGCTTGCAAAGCTTCGGGAAGAAATTATTTTCCGCGACGGTCTAAACGTTCGGAAAACTCATCAGTTTTGGTTTCAAAACTGTTAAGTACACAAATTTGTTCAAAGTAAATGCTGTTGTTTAAACCTGAAAATCTACTATCAATATAGATGAGTTTTTGGCAATTTGATTCAAAATTGCCGGACTATTTATTTGAAAATAAGATTTGATTTCCTGAGGATTTCGCTTTTTTCGAGTTCACCCTGTATAAGAGAAGCAATAATTTTCTCAATCTTAGCCGGAATCGATCTGCATTTCCACCAATCTACTTTGTTTATAACAAGCAATTGTTTCCTCACTATTATTTACATTTAACGGCCATCCAGTGCTTCTTCACCCTGTATTTTGTGTTCCAAATATTCCGTGTCTTGTATGGGAATTGTCCGGTTTTATAAATGAAAAATTATTTTTCTGCACAGTTAAACGACGAATAAATATTCATATGGTTGTTTTTGTAAATTCGAGAAAAGTGGTCCCAAGAGACCAGAAAAACACTTAAAACCGCCTAAAAATCAATTTTAAGTCCTAAAAGATCCCCTTGTTGAAAAAAGAAACAAAGATATTTTAGTTTTCAGGTTTTATTTAGTATTTTTGTTTTAATTTATTCACTACTTTTATTCATTGCTACACTCGTTTACTCAAATATAAATTGGATTTTGTTTAATGCTGAGCAACTAATATTTGTAATAATAATCCTAAAGGAATGTTCTTAGTGTGTATAGTAGAATTGCTTAAAGCCGATCTGTTCCATGTTGGTTTCGTCACCGGAAGCTGTTTTTGCGGATTGGAGCTCGGACTACAGATGACTGTCCCAGGAGAGTTTTTCCACTTGCGTTTACTATTTGGGTTTTCGTGACTTCCCAGCATGTTTGGCCAGAGCGTTGAAATGATGATTAAAAATAGTCACAAACTAATGAAAGATTTTCCGCTCATTACTTTTTCTTCTTCACTCCAGAGTAAATTTTTTTGAAAATCGAATGGGTTTAAGGGGACTGATTTTTACTGTTTTTGTTTGCAACAGGAAATTTATTGCAGCCAAATATGCCCTAACTAATTGTTTTGGCCCGAAAATCAAAGAAAGAGTCTAATTTACATGGACTTGTTAGGCCACTAATGCTTGGAGAATCTGCAACAGCTTTTAAATCGGTGGAATATAATGACCCAAAGTTGCGGTTTCTTGCCCGGTCTACACCATGCTTGGTTGCACCATACTGAAATCACAAACTATTTGAGTTTTTTGGTCTCCCCCGCATGCACATGGAAATTGTATTTTGATCTCTGACTATAACTAGCTGAAAGTGCAGTTTTTGCATTGCAACCAACAATATCTATACAAAACTCTTTAAGCTAATAGCCAATTTTCTTCCAGGAATTTATTCTAGTAAACTAATGGAAAAGTTTTTGTTTTCAGCATTCAAAACGTACAGAACTCAACCAAATCGCACTTGATTATTTCCCATTTTTCAATTGCCATAATCACAAACTAATTTTTGATGTTTTTACAGCCGCTATTCTACAAGAGAGCGACATGTTTATGGACGCATTGACAGCTTCCGCCCCGAAGAAGGACGCAAAGAAGCGGAAACGAAGAGTCAGTGTATCCAAAGAAACCGTTCCCTCATCTCCATCAGCGTCGCCTGCACAGGGAGATGGACAAGCGGCAGATTCTGCAACCCCAACAAGTCCGCCCATAGGACTGAAGAACTTGGCCCCCATCAATTTTTATCAGGATACTTTGTCGAAAGAACCGGTGGCAGCAGAAGAAACGGCTGAAGCAACAGAGAGTGATAGTGTGGAAGCTGGCGCTGAGCCGTCGGAACCTAAAGAAACTCCATCAAGTCCACCCAACGGCACCGAATCGGAAGCTATGGAAGTTGATGAAGCACCAAACGCTCCACGACCAACAAAGCAGGAAGGTGGTCTTAAGGGGGTGTTGCTATTCGCGAAAAAGAAAGGCCCGAAGCGGTCGATTAAGTGGAAGGCCGAAGATGATTTGGTGGAAGTTCGGTACTTCGAGCTGGACGAAAATGAGCGAGTGAATGTAACAAAGACCTTTATGGACATGGCCAAAATGGAAATGACTAGTGAAAGGGAGGCGTTGATCATGTCCCGGAAGCTCCCGAACGAAGACACGATGGAACCTCAGACCATGTGGCGTATGCTGTTTATGTGCGACCAGCCCGAATCACTTGCGATTCCCGGATCGAAGAGCTTGGAAAAAGATATTCAGTTTGCTAGGGAGAAAACAGTCCTTGCTGCGCTCTATTTCGACAAACGGCGAATCCCCGACAGTGCCGAAGAACCCATTCCGGAGATCCATCAAATGAGCGATCCAGTGAGCATTCCCTTGGAGGATCCAGAATGTCAGGAAATCGATCTAAGGAACACGCCATGGCCGGAACCCAAAGGACTCTCGCCTCAAATGGAACCCCAAATTGTGCCCCCGATATTCCAAAATATGCCTTTCAACCCCAACTTCAACACCATGGGCAACATACCACCTGGGGCTCCTTTCATGGGAGTACCACCAAGGTTCCAAGGCCCGCCCGGACCGATGGGCCCCGTTCCTGGCAACTTTGTGCCCCCCAACATGATGCACAACAACATGATGGTACCCCCGATGAACCAGCCGGACATGATGAACTCCATTCCCCCTGGTGCGATGAATCAGGGTTTGTTTGGACCTGGTGGAATGATGAAACCTGGACCTGATGGTTTTATTGGACATGGAAACGCGATGCCTTCATTCAACGGCCCTCAAGGCCCGATGTTTGGCCCCAATAACTTCAATCGAGGCCGAGGAGGCTTTCGGCGCGGCGGCAGCAATAATGGGGGTTGGGTTCAGTTAAATGGGCCCCGGGCGTGGAAGAGGGGAAGTTCCGGAAGCTCCAGAGGTGGCGGAAGACTATGCAAAAATATTCAGAATCACGGCTATTGCAGGAACGGGGACAGTTGCCCGTTTGTGCATTAGGGTTGTAATGAGGAGCCGTAACTGTGATATTAGTGCAATAGCGTTGAAATGCTTTAAGTTCTGTCGGGGTGCATGATGAAGAAGTTTCATTCTATCGGCAACTGTGATATTAATTTAGGGGGTTTGAGCCACGGCTGTCTGGAACATTTATACGGGATTTTTTCGAAGAAGTGCGCCAGTGTCTATTTTCGGAAAAATCCTATTTCTGAGTGTTATGAGGAATTGTGTGTATATACGAAGTAATTTATATTTACGACTCAATAACTGCAATACCTGGTTATTGCGCGATTGACCACTCAACAACTACTTTCGGGTTTGCAGTATAATTTCGTTTCTGTTATCACTAGTTTTTGTAAATTATTTAATTTAATAATCAGTATTGCGAATTTTTATTTGGGTTTTATTTTTATTCCCTTAGAAGTTATTATCCCTTTAAATGGCGCTGCCTTTTGGGCAATTTTTCAATTTATTAGAAGTTGGAGCTAATGAAAAAATCTCGGTTTTTTACTGCACGCCCATGGCTGCAACTTGTACACTTAGCAACGTCGCTGCGATCTGCATTTTGTCAAAAGGCAATTAATGTCATTGTCACTTGGGCTTAGAACGTAAATAGTGCGAATTATATTCTTATCTTAATTTTGCTCATTAACTGGTTCAATCGAGCGCAATTACGCGAGTGCTAAGTTTGTTACCTCGCCATCCAGATTCGCTGTTCAGTGTTGTTGCGTGCGATCCAGCCAATTCAACTTACGTGTGGAGAAACATGTCGACTGTACTTTGGTACTTCGGTGAGAGAACTTTTTCCTTTTAAGCCCCTTTTGCGTGGAACGCAGTCATTGTAGACTAGTTACTTGCGAACTTAGCCAAAAATGCAGCGGTGGTTTTTCCTGGAAGACCCCGAAAACGCAGCCATCCGATCGGGAAAGGGAGATGCAGAAAGTAGCTCTGGATCGGTTACATCCTTCCAATACACCCCTCGACATTGGTTGTTCCGAGTGAGGGTGCCCCAGTTGAAGAAAGATGAATCAGTATGCGTGGTGGGCGATCTCAAAGAGTTGGGCGCTTGGGTGCCCGAGAAGTGTGTGGCTTTGCAGCAGGAAGACGACACAGACATCTGGTCTGCTGTAGTAGAAATTCCGGATAAACGGAAGATTGAGTATCGATACTGCGTGTGTGTTATCATCGAAAGCGGCATTCAGGTCATAGTCAGAAGCTGGGAAACCAATGTGAAGCCTAGAGGAATAGATTATTCGGAAAAATCTCCAACAATGGAAGATGAGGTTCAGACGTACGGATTTTACGCAAACAGCGAGCGTTTTGATAGGGGCTGGCTCAGTAAGGAGACAGTGGTTCAGCTGAAGCTGGGCAGCGATCCTCTGACTATTTGGAGGCCAAAGTACGCGGGTCGGCAGGTTTTTATTAAAGTGACGCCGATTAACTTAAAAAGGCATGCCTCAAACCTGCCGATATCGATGTCGGATGCTTTGGATGAGTCGCTGAGCGACACCCAGGATGGTGTGGAGAATGCCAAATTTTCCTTCACTGAGGTGGCCGCTCTGCTTGATGATGACCCAAGTTTCAAGCCGCAAGGCCAGTTTGGCACCGCCATAAAAAAGGATGATATGCTAACTTTCCAGAGCACCGTAGTGTTTCCTCAAAACACCGCCTATTTATTCGATTTCTATATTTATTCCTCTAGAGCAGACGAAAGTGAGCCTCCTTACCATGCGGGATTTAGCTACTTGTTGCCTACGGCTTTACAGTCCTCAGAAGGCAACATAATTTTGCCAGTTACCAGTACAAAGCACAGGCCTTTGGGAGAATTGCGCGTTGATTATCTAGTGATTGGGGCGATGCCCAATTATAAATGCGACTTGAGTATTTCCTATGCCCGTCATTGGAAGAAGACCAGAGCAGGCCTAGATGTCGGGCATAGAGGGTCAGGATCCAGCTTTAAAAACAAAGTTCAAAATTGCGCGGAAGTACGGGAAAATACTATAGCTTCCTTAAAAAATGCCATTGATCATGGGGCAGATTTTGTCGAATTTGATGTTCAACTGAGTAAAGATTTAGTGCCTATAATCTACCACGATTTTCATGTGTGCATTTCCATGAAAAAGAAGCGGGATATTGAAGATCAGGATATGCTGGAGATTCCACTAAAGGAGCTCACTTTGGAGCAGCTCAGATTGCTCAAGGTACTGCTCTCATGGAGTTTGAAGTGAATTTTTCAAAATGGCATTTTCAGGTTTACCACTTAACAGAGGGCAAGTCAAAGAACCAGAGGTTCTTTGACGAAGACTTGGAGGACCATCAGCCATTCCCCACTCTGCAGCATGTTCTGGATACCTTGAATCCCCATGTAGGGTTTAATATTGAAATCAAGTGGACGATGAAGTTGGCGGATGGCTCTTACGAGCTGTACCATCCAACCGATTTAAATTTGTACTTGGATACAATTCTGGAAGTGGCGATGAAGTGAGTATTCATTGTAGTATTTTAGGGTTTTCTGGGCTCTGATGTAGACTTTGCTTAGTTGCCTAGAGTTATTGCGGTAGAGCGCAGCTAATTATTTTCCTTCGCTCTGCACGATCTTTGAGATATGAGAACATTGTGTTGTTTCTTCTCAGGCATGGTGGAGAGAGGAGAATAATTTTTTCGTGTTTCAATCCCGATATCTGCCAAGTAATTCGTTTAAAACAAAATAAATATCCAGTAATGTTTTTAACAATTGGAGAGAGCGAGATTTACCCGAGATATGCAGATCCGAGATGCTGGTCGATAAAGGCGGCCAGCCAGTATGCCACCATGATTGAGATTTTAGGTATCAATGTTCATACTGAAGATTTGTTGAGGCATCCTTCACTGGTAGGTTTTATTTTGCTTAATCATCAATTGGTTTTTCGAAAAAAACGATTTTGTATTTTTATATGACTTAACGAAGGGTGCTTCATGATGCTTGGAGATTAAACCGATTTGTTTTGTTACGCGGATGTTCTAGTTAGAGTAACAGGATGCTCGGCCTATTAGATTATCTCTGTGCATCGTGTGCAGTGTTTTGAATGTTGTTCCCAATAAGCTCAATTGTTTTAAGGAAATTTTCATTTTTGTCATGATCATTGGTTCACTCAAAAGTGAACAGTTTAGTTTTGCTGTTTTTGTTGCGATCTTGATGGTCACTAAACAACTGCTCTCCTCAAGAAATTTTACTTGCAACTTGAGGCTAAGTGGATGATGTGTTGAGGGAATGCTTGTTTTGCTCTGGATTGATTATTCGTTAGTAATTAGTTGGGGTTTAATGCAGTATTTGTCTGAATCTTCGCATTTACATCCATCCTTCTCCATCGCTTCTGCAGGGTGTTCACTTGGGCTGTGTGTGTAGAGATATATACAGTATGTTTTCTTAAGTTGTAGCCACATAGAAAACTTTTTTATTGTTGCACCCTTCGATGCAATAGTACCAATACAATAGTTGCAGATTTTTTACCAAAAAATCGGGCCTGATAGCATGAGGAACGAGACAGTTTCTTCTCAATCTGCGACTTTTTGATGATATCAATTGCAACATTGTTTTTTGTGCTACTTTCCCAATTTTAATGAATTCCATCAATTCCCATTTATTGCTATCTTGCCCCTCAATCCGCCTATAAAGACCTCAATATTAAAAAACACCCTGTATATATTTGTCATGTTATCTTCGATTTTCGTCTTGAGCAATCACACAATTTCAACCATCCTTTGGTGCTATTTCATCGGGCAAAACCAATCAACCCCCAAAAACTTGTTTTCAGTTTGAAAGGCTCGCCGTAAACTCTCTACAAATTGGAATGTTTTAAATTGGTTCCACTGTTTAGGTTCAGCTGGCCAAAGAGCTGAATTTGGTGATTTTCTGCTGGGGCGATGAAAACGCCGATCCTGCCACCATCAAGTTCCTGAAAGAACTCGGTCTTCACGGTGTGATTTACGACAAAATTCACGAATACTCAAGCAAGGAGGTGAAGGAGAGTGTCTTCCTGTTGGAGGCCAAGGGATCGCAAAAAGAACTCATTCAGGTAAATTGTTGGGTTTTAGTTTATTAGGGAAATTTGTCGAAAGCAATTAACCTCAAGGCAATTCAGTTAATTGGCAATGGTTTATGGTTATTGATTAACTTTTTTACGACACCGCAGTGATATTGTGCCAATTAATACTTGCGTGGTAATAAATAACAATGTTGTTGTCGGATGATCACAGCCAAATACAACCTAAATGAATTCGGTATCACTGAGTTTATTGTGGCATTATTTATCAGCTAATTAAAGAAATATTGACCTTTGGAGTATGTGACTTCATTTATCATCACTTTTCAGTTAACGATTTTCATTTAAAATTAGACAGGGTGTTTCGCATTTCTTTCAATAGCCGATTTTCTTATCTTCTAGGGTTGCCAACGCGTGCAACTTTAAACTTTTGCTTCTTTTCAATAATTTCCAGTTAAGTATAACTGCTATCTATGGGTCTTAATAAGGCATGTCGCTTTAACCGTCCATCTTCACAATGTGCCACGCAATGCATGAGTTTAAACTTGCAAGCTTTGCATGGTAAAACATGATTAGTCGTTCAATTTCATTGTATGGGCAAGACGAATGGAAACATGTTTTGCAGGCTAGCAAAAGACGTTCTTGCTTGCTGTTTTTATAGCAAATTTAACAGTGATTAACTGAGCCAATTTTTTGCATTCAGCTTGTAGCTGCACATGCAGAAAACGAATTAGCACCCACAATGTCTCATCCTACTCAGCCTCGCATTGAAGGGGCAAGTGATTTGGATAAGATCCGATTGACGCTTCCTGATGGAATATCCACAGCCACTTCCCTGGCAAGCCTGGAGAGTTCAACTTCCGATTACAATAAGCCTGCCAAAGTCTAGATCTTGTTCAAATTGTTACCAATAAAAAAAGCGCGGCTTGTGGCAAATAGAATGTTTTAAATCGCGTGTACGACATAGTTTATAAGCTGCTGTTTTTTTGTTGCTCTTGAGCCAGTTTCAATTGTTATTGAAATAAAGTCACCTACAGCTTTTGAAGTGATTATTTCAATCCTGTCCTGATCCCAGTCGCAAATACGGGACAAGGAACCTACAGCGGTTTCGTTTAATGCGCTTCTTATTGCATAAAGTGAAACGGAGCGCATAGTTTCGGTTTGAAAATTAAAATAAATCACGTGGATTTATCGAAACCGGGTAAACCGTGTTTAATTGCGCGCTACCAGTTCGGACATGCTGTTATTCAGTGGCGCAAGCATGCATTGGGTTTATGAATTATTGTCGTGTTCAGCTAAAAGGAATGGGATTTTTCGCTAATGTAAATAAAAATTGTTTATCGGCATTATCATATTTGCACTCAAATGTTTGCATTGTTCTCAAATACCAGAAATTGTATATTTAGCGTTTCGGTTTTAAAGCGACGTCATGGCGTTTAATTAATTGAAATGACCTCATTCAGCACAAATACGGCTTCGATCAACAACAAATTATTGCTTGCAATGTGTGGAAATACCGGATTTTAAGTTTGACTTTTTATGAGACAACCAAAGCGTTTTCAAAAATTTATGTTCTACAGAAAAAAATGCGTTATTGAATGCCCCATTCAGGAGTGAAATTTTCAGCTTTCCAGGTCAAATGATTAGTGTTTTATGCGCCGAGAACTTAGCGCGATTCTACCAAGGAAGCGAAATCTTCCACTCGTTAATGAATAAAAATCATTCATAATTTAGTGCTAAGCTAAATAGTATGTGTTGGTCCAAGAATGGTCCAAATCTTTTTGAGTTCTGTAATTCACTTAACGAATGAGACTTTTATCAAGGTTTTAACCGCGTCCAGAGCAGCTAGAAACTAACACCAGAAAGCTCTTACAACTGGTTTTTTTGCGAGTTAATTATAAATAATTCTTGCTGAATGTTCTGCGAGGAAAATTACTATATTTGATGCTCTCCGTATTTTAATCAATAAGTGAAGCAAGTAGAAACTGATCAAACCCGAGTTTGGAAAGTTTCTTTGAATTATTATGGACGTGCTCATTGTTTTCGTGCCTTATAATGGAAACCGTCTTGTTCTCAATAAAAGTAGTTTCATTAACGCAAAAATGCGGTCATTGAGCAAACTCACGTGCGAGCATTTTCCTAATTTCTTCGCTGAAACATCTCGGACAAAAGTGAGAAAATTCAAGCAGTTTTGTGCGTGTTGCGTGCCCATATGCAAGATGCATCTTTAATTAGCCATAAATAGGGTATTTAATAAATATCAGCGCGGAAATTTTGCATTTTTCTATCGCACGTCCAGCCAAGAACGTAGAATGTGGATTAAGCAACTCAGTGTTTTTGTTAGTGTGTGTGTGATCAGTGGATATTGCGATTCCAATGGATTAAATGTCGTGCAACGTGTTATTAGTGAGTGTTTGCAAAGCAACGAAAGGTAAGAGCGAATCGCTCGCCATTTCGTCCAGAAGGATTCGAAAGTTTCAGTTTTTCAGTTATTCCTGCATGTCGGAGAAAGCGGCTGGAGCAGTGGAAAGAGCAATGGACTGGAACGTCTCCATTCTAGATGGACTCAGTTTGGCCCGAAACAATGAAACGATCAACCGACGACAAGCAAGGTTATTAGGTATATTACTCAATTAAAACCTAGATATTCAGTTTTGGGTTGCAACCGAATGTCGGCAACGTTTCGCCACAAATGTGCGACTAACCACTCTCAATTACCTGGCCTGATTGGTGCGTTACAGGGTTCGATCGTCTCAGTCAGGCAGTCCAGAACTTTTTCCAGACGCATGTGATTGCTCTGGAATTGGGCGGGGCCCGAACATTGGGCAAAGATTCGGGCGATATGAGCAGTCTGGGTGGTGGCAGCGGATTGGACATGAAATCTATGAAAAAGGAGAAAAAGTACATGAGTTATGCTTTTATGGTGCTGCTAGGTGAGTGAGGCATTTTCCTAACTTTCTATTCTAAAGCCCCTGTCCCATGCATCCGTTTATACGATGGTACGATGATACGAAAGTGTTTCTATTGGTTGGAGATCTGTCAATTCGTCCGCCGTCGGACGAACTGACAGATCTCCAACCAATAGAAACACTTTCGTATCATCGTACCATCGTATAAACGGATGCATGG